TCTCTCTCTCTCTCTCTCTCTCTCTCTCTCTCTCTCTCTCTCTCTCTCTCTCTCTCTCTCTCTCTCTCTCTCCCTCTCTCTCTCTCTCTCTCTGCCCTCCTGCCCACCCATTCATCAGCGTGGGTCCCACTACTGAGAAGATCTCCTCGAGTTGAACCTGCGGCAGCTACCCCGGTTGTGCTTCGATCAAGTAAGTCCGATGATCCTGGTCCAAAATTTGGAGAAAACTAGCTGTGGTGTAGTCTGTTGTTGTGGAGTGTGACAGCAGTGATGCAATGCTGATGACTCTAGGAAGTGATCAATCCACAATCACCACTGTCCCTCTTAGCCTAGTGAGCAGTTGAGATTGAGTTTTGCTCTGCGCCATAACCATCAACATATGATTTCCTTACAAAATGCTGGTAAAGTAGTTTGGCGATGCAACTTATGAGCATGCACATAGCCTCTTTTTTCTGTGAAAATCTGGCGTGCGCCGTGCAGCCAAAAAGGAGGCCTGAAGACATATTGCCAGCATTTTTCTCTAAACATTTGTCATGCAGGCTGAGGTCCCTCTTTGTGCACATTGGGGGGGCCGGTGGGGAAAGGGGGGGGAGGAACCTGACCTCTCAATGTGCACAAAGAGGGACGGCAGGTAGGCCCTGCAAATTTGTTTCGCGGAGGGACTGCCAGATTCGGACTGCTCAGGCCAAGCACAGACCTGTCAATTTGGGGACATGGGGGGGAGAAGAGAGAGAGAGAGAGAGAGAGAGAGAGAGAGAGAGACAGAGAGAGAGAGAGACAGAGAGCCGGCGAGCACACGGCATTCATACAACATCTGCTGATCACATAGATACTAAGTGAACATTGCAAACAAACTGAAAATCGGCGATCTGATCAAAAGGACAGCATTTTCTCGGAAAAAGTTCCCGAGTTCTCAGACTGCAACTGTACGGTCATTGCTCACGACTCAAAAACATAGCTATGCTGAGAAGGTTACGGCTTCCATCGAAAATTGCAAACTAAACATTGAAAATCGCAAACAGGGTCAATTAACTCCCGATGTAAAAAAGAAGGAAAAAAAAGGGTCCTCACTGTTCCCTCTGTTTTCTTGCAAGTTAATGTGCAACAGGCTATCTACTATTTAGTGTATGATTTATTAATTTCCCTTCATCTGTTTCTGTTGTTTTCGGGGCACTGCAATAGCTTTTTCAATCCCTTTTTGGTGCGGTAACTAAGATTACAAAATAACAAAAAAGTAAAAGTGACAAAGATGAAAGGAAAAAATCGTCTTTCAATCCCTTTTTGCTGGCTCTGAGGTAGCCACTAGTGTGCTTGTGACCTGTTGTGACGTCTGTGTTCGTTGCGCCACCTTGTCTGTGTTATTGTATTGTCTGTGCATTTGTCAATTGCCACAAGGCAATACAGGAAAGACAGAAGCTGGATGGGACGCTAAGGGCAAGACAAGGGCAAGAACAAGGAGCAGCAGCAGCTTGCCCGATGTCAGTGTCGAAGGAAATATCGAGAGCATGTTGATGGTAGAGAAGGGGTTGAGAGAGCTTGCGTCATTGAAGGTCCGCTTCGTTCAACTATCATGATTACGATCACCGAAGCCAACACGAGTGGCTGATTGGTTTGCAGTCTGTAATCTGCACTTGCCGAGGATCCATCTGATAACCGAGTCCTGAACAACTTTCAATCGCAACGATTCAACCGCACTCCTTTGAGAAAGGGCGATAAAGCTGCAGCAAAGTACACACTGCAGGAAAAGAAAAGAAAAAAAAGACACAAAGCATTAAGCGTCGCTCATTGCAGATTGCAAAGAACACAAAAGGAAATCTTTCGGTGCCATGATTTTGTTCAATTTATAATGCAAGACAATTTTCAGACAATGTCATTCATCACCACTGAAGAAGAAGCGATGTGATGCAAACGAGGCTCGCAAATTAAGGAAGAAAGAAGATGAAGAAAAAGCGCGCACGTGTTTTCTGCTGTGGCTCTGCCCATGGCGGAGAGGAGGGAGAGAAAAAAGGGAAGTGGGGTGGGGTGACCTGACCTACATCTCTCTCTCTCTCTGTGCGCAGGGGAGAGCAGGGACGACACGGGGAAGAGGTCCTGAGGGGTGAGACGAGATCAGGGTGTGGTACGAAGTGATGGTATGAGCTGGGAGGGAGAAGATCCCCGTCTCCCTCTTGACCTCTCTACCTCTCTCTCTCCAGGGCAAGGGGCAGAACGAGGGCTGGAGCATGGGAGGGGGAGGGGTTGTGGAAGACTCTCTACGTCTCACAATCACAGTGGAGGATGAGGTCTGGGGAAGCAAGAGGGAAAGCGGGATCGTGTCTGAGGGAGAGACGGCCAACTCTCTCTCTCCCTCTTTCTCTCTTGATCTGAGCATGACTGGGAGGACACGGGGAAGAGCTGTCAAACAACTAGTACCTCCGAGCCTGTTTTTGCCGACCCTGAATTTCACTGCGCTTAAGTTTTGCCGAGCCTGGTTCCAACTCCATTTTCTTCATGGTACTCTCACGGGAAGAACAAAAAAAAAAAGAAAGAAAGAAAAGTTGCGGCCGTGAAACTCACAAAACAAGAAAACAAAAAAAAAGGAAACAAAGCTCTTGGAAGTGGTAGTGTGAGTGTGCCGTCAATGAGGGCATCCAGAAACACAAAACAAGAGAAAAAAGAAAAACGGAAACACGGATTCTGCCGTGAAAATGGCTGGATACATTCCTCTAAGTGCCAGTGTGATCAGGGTTACAATCCTTGGAAGAAACACGGCTTGAGCAGATCACGGATTCAGATTGTCAGATTCCAGAAGCACAAAAAGAAAAAGAAAAAAATGGAGACAGGGATTCGGCCGTGGAAATGGCTGGATATATTCCGGTGTGATCAGAGTTCCAATCCTCTGAGGAAACACAGCTTGAGCAGATAACGGATTCCGCCCTGCCTCGTTGGCAGGAGACTCGTAGAAAACACGCACGGGAAAGAAAAAAAGGAAAACAACTTCTTTCAGAATGCGACTGTGTTTGCTGCAAGATGCATTCCCTAGAGGAAGACTGTGAGCACGGCCTCCTAGACTACACTGCCCGACATCGTTGCAGCACAGAAAGCATTTTTTTTTCCCTTCTCCTTTCACGCGCGGGCAAAAGAAAACTAAGATCTATGGGACTTGCAGACCCTGGGTCCCACCCCCGAATTCTTCGGAAAGAGGCTAAAACTCGTAATTTCCCAACACTGGCAGAGGTACTAGTGGTTGAAGGGGTGAGACGAGACCGGGATGTGATAACGAGCGGTGGCAAGCTGGATGAGGGGGAAGCAAGAACATATTTCTCTCTACCCCTCTCCCTCTCCCTCTCGCTCTCTCTCTGTGAGCTCGCCCTGGAAGGGTAGTGGAACAGGTCCAGGAGGGGTGAGATGGGATGCGAATGCTGCAACTAGTGGCAGCAGAGCTGGATGAGATGAGAGCGAGAAGTTTCTCTCTCTCTCTCTCTCTCTCTCTCTCTCTCTCTCTCTCTCTCTCTCTCTCTCTCTCTCTCTCTCTCTCTCTCTCTCTCTCCGGATGGTCTAGGGTGCTGGGAACGGAAGTGAGAGCAGGACCAGCCCCGGTCAAGCCGGGTTGCATCTGGTCTAGGCAAGCAGGATGGAAAGTGGGCTGTTGTCTAGAAGAAGGGAGGAAAAAGAGCACCATGAGGAGTGGGATCAGGCGAAATCGGGGTGGAGGGGGCTGACAAGTGTGGGGAAGGGCAGCAGTAGCGACTCTCAGGCTCTCAGTGGAAGCAACTCTGTCTCTCGGTGGAATCGACTCTCCTTCTGTCTGTTTCTCTCCCACCCCTCTGCCTCTTCTCTCTAATTGGGGCGAGAGAGAGAGAGGGAGAGAGAGAGAGAGAGAGAGCCTGGTGCAGGAGAACCAGACCTGGAAGGGGTGATTCTGTTGCTAAATGGTTGTGCGCCTGACCTATATGTTGTGAACTTTTCTGGTACGCAGGTGGAAGAAGCTGTGCTGCTTGCAATGTCTGAACCTAGGCGGCGCTCTATGCTGCAAAACTTGGGTGAGTTGCACCAACATTTGCAAATAGTGTGGCATCCAACAAGTGGTTAGGGGTCATTGACATGTCCAATTTTGTCGCGTTGCTTTGTGTCTCCGGTGTGGTGAGCTGTGTATGAGGAAAGTGTTGTCACATAGTTGATTGTCGTAGTTTGTCATTTCTGATTGCTGTGTGGTTGAAGTTGCTGTATATGGTTGGAGTCGAATTGCAGTTAAGTATCCCTTCAATGAGGGGGTTCTATTTTTAGTACAGGGGTGGTAAAGGTAGAAACCCAAAATAGAAAGTGTGGTAGTTCTGTGAAAACTTCTGGTTGGGCCTCTGCCAGATCGATGCAAACAGTGAAGTACGTGTTGAAGCTGATACAACTGCAGTTTTCTTGGCGTCCGTCTGAACTACCGTCGGCACCCGTCTGAACTGCCGTCTTCGCCCAAATAGAATGCTGGGTGTTTGTAGCTGTATTTGGTGCTGCGTTCAGTCTACATACAGGTATAGTGACTAGGCGCTGTATTTTGGTGAAGATGGTCAGGGGAGAATTGAAAAAATTGGATACCAACCAACCTGGCATCCAAATTCTTTCAGTCCTCAGTGCCTGGTCATTACGTCTGTATATCGACTGAACACTCGACCAAATACAGATTTAATCACGGAGTTCTATTTGGGTTAAGAGTCTAAGACGGTAGTTCCGACCGAAATCATGGAAACTGCAGCTCTAGAGTCAAAGACGGTAGTTGAACAGAGAGTAGAAAGAAGGATGATATACATGAGGAATATATGAGTCGGTGAAACTCCGA